CGTTCTCATGGCTGCAGGTCTTGGTTCCTGCTTCTTATCAGTCTGTTCCTCCACTTTCCGTCTTTATCGTCATACTTCAGGCCTTACCAACAGAATGTCTTATTGTACCTGTCTTTTGGGAGTCTTTCCTACAACAAATGCTAGATTGTTCTCACTCCCTGGGCTTCCTGGTTTACTATCAGCTATAGTTGCTGATACTAACAGTGTATGTTTAGCTCAGCACTGACAAAAAAAAAAAAAAACTGGAAAAGCAGAAACCATGGGAATTATTAGTTGTCCTAGAAGTTCCCAGGCCTAGTGAAACAGACAGAACAACTTTGACAGGAATGCTGCCTTCGAAGATAACGGAATCCTAAACCCCTCTGAGTTGTTTGCTGCCTTCTCTTTGCCATGACACTTTCCTTTCTCCGTTGCTTCTCTCCTAAGAAGCTTCCATGCACATTCCTCCCTTGCAAGGTAGAGAAAGGGGCACGTGTTATACGTTGGGCATTGCATTTCATCCTCAAAATAATCTGTGAGGCAAGTTGTAACAGAATTTAAGGAACAGACAGGTTAGTAATTTACTCAAGTATGTTTTTCTAGCAAGAAAGTGCTACTGAAACACAGAAGTGTCCTGCTGCTAACCATGCTAGGACCTCCCTTCTGATGAAGTCTACGGCGGGACTATCAGCTTTCCAAGTCAGTCTCCTTCACTAGGTTCTGAGATCCTCCAGGGCAAGGACTATGTCTCCAGTGTACACATTAGGCAGTCAACAAATGTCAGTTTCTTTATTTCTCTGCCTTTCCTTCCTCTACCATCACTAAACACTGGCTGGAATATGAGGTCTAATGAAGTGCTTTGCATTCTTCACGGATGATAGTGTTTATGCCCACTTGATTTCATTGAAAAAATAATATCGACACACATGATATGAATAATACAAAGCAGTAAATACACTAAGTGTTCAGTTGGGTGGTAGAAGAAAGGAGATTTAATGAGGGAAGAAATAGACATGGTAGAAATAGACCCCATGAAACAGGTGGGATCTTGAGCCGTGGAGTATGAATAGGATGTGGATGTTAATCTGTTCATTCAACCCACAAACAGGCTCCTATCCCATGGCAGCCCTGATATTGGATATGGGGAATGGGGTGGGGTAAGGAATCAGGGAAAATAAACAATAGAATAGGGAAGGATATTCAGGACTGAACCTGGTGCTTTCTGGGAGAAGTAAGAAACTGAGGCTCAGAGCTGTCACATGAAGAACACTGTGTCCTATTGAGAGATCAGGCAGTGGCAAGTATTTGACCTTTCTTCTTCCCCCAAAGAATATTTTTTAGGTGAGATGAATGAAGGACGGATGCCAATTGCCAACCATCAATTAGTATCTCTTTTATTTTGTTATTATTTATTTTTTTAAAGACAGGGTCCCACTCTGTCACCCAGGCTGGAGTATAGTGGCATGATGATAGCTCACTGCAGCCTTGAACTTCCAGGCTCAGTTGATCCTCTTGCCTCAGCCTCCCACATAGCTAGGACTACAGGTGTACAACACGATGCCCAGCTAATTTTTGTAGAGATGGGGTCTCACTCTATTGCCCAGGGTGGTCTCAAACTCCTGGGCTCAAGCAGTCCTCCCAGCTTGGCCTCCCAAAGTGTTGGGATTACAGACATGAGCCACCACGCCCGGCCAGTATCTCTTTTAAATTCACCCTCAGCAAAACTCTAGTCTTCTCAGGAAGAAAATCAGTTTTTAGCATCGGAAGAACACAGCTTTTCCTGGAGATCTTCCAGCTTTGAGTTAATTAATCTCACTTCAGAAGCTGTGAAGTCTCAACTCACACAGGTCCAGAGGGGTCCTGAAAGGAAACACTTAGACTGGAAAGGACAACACTTCACTGAAAGGACCCTGTGTGGTCAGCAGGCAGTGCTCAATCCACGCTAACGAAGGCTTACACACGGTGCATACTTTACACCATAAGGGAAATTAGAGCCTGTAACAACCGTTTTAAGTCTTTCAAGATGTAGGCTCAGTGCAAAAGCTAGAAGGATCAAAGAGAACATCCAGTTTTAGTCCAGATTCCTTATGGTGAAGAAACTGGAACCCAGAGAAGTCACCCTGGATCTTATAGTTAGTGGCAGGGCTCAAACTGGAGTCTTGGCTCCAAGAAGAGTGTTACAAACACATGAAGGTTTAAAGTGGGTGAAATGTCTGCACATACAGAGAATATGTTTAGGATTTGCAGAGCATCAGTAACTGTGGTTGCCTCTGAGAAAGGGAAATGCGTGGCCAGGAAACGGGCGGGAGGGAGACTTAATATTCACTGAATACCTTTTGAATTTTGTACCATGGATATGTTACCTAATCAAAAATAAATACTTTATTTTTAAGACTTCAGTGGAGTCCTAAGTACTTATTGCTTTGTTTCTCCATTGTCTCATATGTGTAAAACATATTTTCCTGACTCAGCTATACCAGTACGTAAATTATTCCACAGGGGCAAGGTTAAACACTTTGGAAGTAGCAACGCCAGTTGGTTACTACTTTGTGGCTAAAACAAGAAGAGCCTCCTAAACCTCAAGCCAGTGCTATTTCAGAGTTCCAACTTCCTGCCAACTTTGACTGTGGCAGAATCTGGCAGGATAAAACCTAGAGAAACACAAATCCATTAGAAGCCAGTGATTTCATTCATTTCAGAGCAGGATGTAGTCATTAACAAACCTTGATCGAAAGGTCTCCATTAGCCAGAACTCCATCCTTTCCAAGACAGTGGAAGATGCACAGGTGGGAATCTAGTGTAATTCACTAGTGAGCACCTTCAGTGGGCAGACTTCCTGCTAGGAAATGAACCTGGTTGCTTGCTGGCCCCAAGGAACTGTTGCCCAGTAGAGGAGGTGAAAATGTCTGTCCAGAGCGCAGTGTAACAGTGAAAAACCTAACCATCTGCTGGAACTTTTCCAAATTTAGTATTACAAGAGAGGATAGTCTCTAATGTATTCCATAGAGATTTAATGCATGAATCTCATGTGAACAAGTTGAGGGAACCTGGCGCAAATTTCCCAAGCTAGTTTTTCTATTCAGGTTTCAATTTTTAAACTCCAGTTGATGTGAAAATTATAATGTGGTACGCATTAGATTTGAAAAGGAAAATAATTACAATCCCGCTACATACTGTGCAGTAGGGAAAATACTCATTCCTTCATTGGGTATTGAGGCCCTACTGTGTGCTTGGCATTGTGGGGGATACAGAGGACAGGTTTACTCTTTTATTGTCCCCTTAGATGTCTACATACATCTACCTATTAATTTTGTGTGCAAAAGTATTATTTTAGACCTGGGCGTGGTGGTGTGCACCTGTAGTCCCAGCTACTCAGGAGGCTGAGGACAGAGAATCACTTGAGACCAGGAATTGGTGGAAGTGAGCTATGATAGTGTATATGAATAGCCACTGCACTGTGCTCTGGATAACATAGTGTGACCCTGTCTACATTTTTTAAAAAGTATTATTTTAGTGGCTGTTAACCTGCTAATGTCTGGAGATCTTCCAAATGATGGCCTTGAAACAATCTGTTAACACTACCATTCACTAAGTGCTTACTTACTATATGCCAGGCACTATGGTAAGTGTTTTTTATGAATTATTTCACTCAATTCTCACATCAACCCCATAAAGTACTTATAGAGGAGGAAACTGAGCCTCACAGAGGTTAAGTAATTTGTGCTGGTTTACATGTGAAGGATTCAAATCCAGGTTATTCATTCAACCAGGATGCAATGACTTCCTATGTGCCAAGTATGGAAGTAAAGGATAAACAACACTGCCAGTCCCTGCTGTCTTTAAGATTATGATCTATGGAAGTCTTTTTGATTCCAAAGTCCATAGTTTTGACAATGACAATATACTACTTTCCTAAATCTGTGCCAAGGGTAGTCATGTTTTCCAAGGCAATTATTCCTAAGAGAAAACTGGCATCTCAAAGGGATCTGGCGAAGTGTCTTTGTTTCTCAATCCTCCTTTCCCTGTGCTTACTAAAATCAGATTTCTGTTGTGTACTCAGAAGATAAAGTCTGTGCCCTTAAGAAGTATAAAGAGCGTTCTGAAAGTACAGACTGTTATAAAAGACCAGGGTTGCAGTCCTAGCCAGGTCATTTATTAGCTACCTGACCTTGGGCAGCTAACTAAACTCCTCTGAACCTTAATTGCCTGTCTAAAAAAATGGGTATGTGCTTGCAAGGACAAACAATTGAGATGATGAGCCCACCAGACAGAGTACATGTGCAATAAAAGGTTGCTGTTATTAATAGGATTAGGAAGCACAAGAAAACCTCAGGACTGTGTGTTAGGAAGGCTTGTCTAGCCGCTTCTAGTAGCATTTTATTTGTACAATTATGTACAAGTCTCTCAAAGGTGCACACAGTCTGATCCCTGTGCCTGGGAAAACGTGCTGAATAAATATTAGCTGAACCAGTGAATGAATGAACGACTAAAGGCACGCTCAGTCTCTCAGTGAATTAAAACGTTCAATAGGGATGAATGTATGCGTTATAAAAAATAAAGAATTAAAAAAACGTTCAAATGGAAAGGCCATCCACAAAACAGAACGTGGATACAATCCCGCTACTAATTAAGTAAATATCCCTTTAGCCGCTTCAAATTTCGGTGAACTTAAACTATAAAATGGGCAAACCGAGACTTCAGGCCTCACCGCGTAGTTTTGAGATCAAATAAAACGCTGGATATGAAAGCCTTTATAAAAAGATCATCCTCTACAAACACGAGATTGTGGCTGGGTATCAGAGACCGCCCACACCCACGCTGCAGTGGCAGCCGCCGAGCCCCCACTCCGCCCTCTCTTCCTGGTTTTTCCCGGCAACCCGCCCCTCCGGCGTCATGTGACAGGGGTGCCCTGCCGGGAGGAGCCCCTGATTGGCCGAGCTACAGAGAGCCTCGCGATTGGCCCAAGGTCGGCGGGCCCCCGCCTCCCTCCTCCTCCTCGCCGCGGCCCACGTGAGGGGGGCGAGTCACGCGATTTCCGGGAACCCGTCAGGAAGGACATAAACAAAACAAACCCGAGGCAGCATGGAGAGGGGCCGTGGCCCCTGCAGCGGAACCGGACCCAGCCCCTGAGCCGCCCCCACACCCACAGGTGAGCACCGCTGCCCGCTGCCCGGAGCCTTCAGGAGCCTGGGCTGGGGGACGAGCCGAGCGGGGGGCGGAGGAGGGCTGCTGGCCTAGGAGGCAGCAGCGCCGGGGCTCTGGGCCGGGCCGGCGCGGGGCGGGGGCCGGGCCAGGGCCGGGTCTGGGGGCGCGCGGGCCGCGGGCCACCGCCTGTGGGTCACGGGGGCTCCGCTCCCCTCCCCCACTCCTGGCCCGGGACGGTTATATAAAAGCGCGGGGCGGCCGTAGATGGGACCCGCGGGCTGGCAGCAGGCTAGGCCGGGGGTGGGCAGCACCGGGTGTCCGCCCGGCCCTTCCTTGCTGCCTCTGAGCCCAGGGCCGCGGCTGCCGGCAACCGGCCTGTCAGAGAAGCGAGCGGGTGGGAGGGGCCCGGGAGGGGAGGGGAGGCGAGGCTGGCGGGGGAGGAGGAGAGAGAGGGGCGTGTGAGGAAGGGCCGGGGCCGCGGAGGTTGGAGCCAGGCTGGCAGGAGACAAGGAGGCGCGGGCTGGGGGTGGGGGGGTCCAGGCAGGGGTGTCTCGGGGGTAGCCGCTCCCCCTTCCGTCCCCGCCCCAGAGGCGACGGGCGAGAGGGGCCTCCCTCTCGGGATTTGTTTATATGTCTTCTCAGAGCAGCTTGAAGCGGCTCGGAGGCGTGGCCCTTCGAGCTGAGTGGCAGGTTATGCTGTCCAATAGGGAAGGCGGACGGAGGCTGCGGCACCAATGAGCGCGGGGGAGGCGGTGCCGTGGATCCCCCAATTGGTTAGGCTGTGCCGGGGGTGGGCCGGGCGGGGCGGCCATGTTAGATGGGAGGGGACCAGTGGTGGTGGGTCACTGAGAGGGGAGGAGACAGGGCAAAGGGTAAGGGAGCCGGGCCGGGGGCGTTTCGGGTGTCCGAAGGCGAGTCCGATCAGACCAGGAAGTAGCTCAGGGGAGCCTGACCCCGATCCACCGCTGTCCTCACGCGAGCTGAGGAGGCAGGGAAGTACCGAAGGCAGTCAAGCCTCCCCTGGGGGTGGTTCCTGGGACTAGATGGAGCTCAGTCTCTGGATTCTCCCTCTTTCTCGGCCCTACGCTCTCTGACAAACCTGGCCGCCAAGCCCTGTAATCGCCCTCCTTTAACCCAAGAAAGCAAACCTTTCTGCTGTTTCTGAACTGGCTTGAGCCTTAAGACTACCTTAAGGAGGTACTTAGATAACTTAGCGGTCTGAATTTCTGTACCAGGCCTCAGATAAAGGCAGACAGTGAGGGGGAAGTTTTGTTTTTCTGAATTTTGTAAAAGAAAACGGGACTAGAAAAGCCAAGAAAGTTGAGGATTGGGCGGGGATTCCATTTTTTCATCAGGATACCTTCTAAAGATCAGGCCCCCTGCTTGTCCTAGCCTTAGTAGTAGTTTGCCCCTCTTGCTCACATAAATTGGTAGCTCACATAAATTAACTTCCTGAGAAAACTGAGCCTTGAAAAAATTATTTAGGTTTGAAGGTTCTTTAGGACTTTGTCTTGCTAATACCCTGCAGGTGAGAAATAAGATCAAGACCTGATCTTGTGAATCTTGAGATCTGTGGTAAACTGGTTGTCACTTGATTGTACTTTTAAATATTTTTTTCCTATTTAGCAAAATAGTTAGGAGACATACCAATGGTGATATGAATAATTAGAAAGTCACTTACTTTAATCGTATCGTGATTATTTTGGCATCATGTTGGCCTTGTTAAATGCTTAATTTAGGCTTGCAACTTTTGACTACAGGTTTTCCTATTGGTATCGTCAAAGGTAGCAGGCTGTTGATACATGTTTGGTTAAGCACTTAGAGGTAGGAACATGCGTTAGATATATCGTGCAGAGGCCAATCAAGAGTTAGTTGTATTTGTTTAAGAATTTGCATTATCTCCTATTTTGTTAACTGGAGAAAAATAATAATTGGTAAATAAATGATGTATTAATTTTTGTATTAGTTTGGTATGACTACTCACAGTTCTGTTAAGAATGATACATGAAAATATAATCCCTGGCTATTTGATAGACTTAAGTTCTTAAGTATAACTTTTACAGTAAATAAAAAATATTAACTTTTTTTACTGGTTCTCATTTTATCACATAGTATTGTGTTGCTTTCTGAACCCTAGCTCTTAATAATGCCATAATTAGTTATAATGGAGAAATACAGCTAAAATTAAAATAAAAACTGTTTTATTGAAACCTAGAATACTTATTCAAGGCAGTTTTCATTGTTGCATGGGTTGGTAAGGGCAATCAATTACATATTGTATATTCTCTGATTCTAAGAATGGTAAATAGATTCAACAGAACTTACTTGGATGTAATTCTTTCATCTGACTGGTATTTGGGACTTGAGATTTTTAAATTAGAAGTATAGAAGCAGCTGGCTAAATACAGCCAGAGGAGATTTTGGATGCTCTACTTACCATCTCATTCTGTCTGTCATGGCAGGTGAAAACAAGCTTTTATAAAAAACAGTGTTTAGGCTGGGTGCAGTGGCTCACACCTGTAATCCTAGCACTCTGGGAGGCTGAGGTGGGAGGATTGCTTGAGCTGATGAGTTTGAGACCAGCCTGAGCAAAAGCAAGACCCCGTTTCTACTAAAAACAGAAAAAAAATTAGCCGGGCATGGTGGTATGCACCACTAGGCCCAGCTACTTGGGAGGCTGAGGCAGGAGGATCACTTGAGCCCAGGAATTTGAGGTTTCGTGATCTAGGCTGACACCACAGCACTCCAGCCTGGGCAACAGAGCGAGACTGTCTCAAAATACAAAACAAAATTTAAAAAAAACAGTGTTTAGTTTACTGGTTGGATGTGTGTGGGTTCTAGGATGCCAGCATAAGAAGTAAAGGAATAACTAGAATGATTCCTGATGGTGGTGAACTAAATGCAAATGACAGTGAAGTATAATGAGTTTGTATGTTGATTCTGTTAAATGTAGCACAGTTTTTAAAAGATGAAGAGAACTCAGCCAGCCTCCGTGGCTCACACCTGTAATCTTGACACTTTGTGAGGCCAAGACGGGAGGATTGCTTGAAGCCAGGAGTTCGAGACCAGCCTGAGCAAGAGTGAGACCCCTTCTCCTCAAAAATACAAAAATTAGCTGGACATGGTAGCGCCTGCCTGTAGTCCCAGCTACTCGGGAGGGTGAAGCAGGAGGATTGCTTGGGCCCAGGAGTTGGAGGTTAAAGTGAACTATGATGACGCCACTGCACTCTAGCTGGGGTGACAAAACAAGACCCTATCTCACACACACACAAAAAAGAACTAAATTCACTTTTTGCTTTAAAGCCCAATTTTTAGTCAGGATTGGCAGTTACGTGATTTTGAAATGAATTAGCGGCTTGTTTTCCATGTGGATTTCTTTTTTACTCTTTTTTTTTTTTTTTGGAGACAGAGTCTGTCCATTACAGGTGTGAGCCACCATGCCCAGCCTCATGTGGGTTTCTGTTTGGATGTTTTGGGGGACAATTCACTGACGCTTTCACCAAATTCAGTAGCTCAAGATAAACTCCTAGACTAAACATAAATATGTCAGGTTGTTAGTTCTGATTATTTTAAGACAGGGGTTGACAGACTTTTCTTTCTGTACGGGATCTGTCAAAACTACCCAGTTCTGCAATTTGTAGCATGAAAATGCCTTAGAAACTATGTTTGGGCTGTATTCCAATAAAACTTTATTTACAAGAACAGGTTATGCTTCCACGGCTATAGTTTATAAACCCCATTTCTAAGACATCCATGACTGGGTTTTTTTTTTTTTTGAGACAGAGTCTCACTGTATTGCCCAGGCTAGAGTGCCGTGACGTCATCCTAGCTCACAGCAACCTCAAACTCCTGGGCTCAAGCAATCCTTATGCCTCAGCCTCCCGAGTAGCTGGGACTACAGGCATGCGCCACCATGCCTGGCTAATTTTTTCTATATATTTTTAGTTGTCCGATTAATTTCTTTCTATTTGAGTAGAGACAGGGTCTCGTTCTTGCTCAGGCTGGTTTCGAACCCCTGAGCTCAAACAATCCGCCTGCCTCGGCCTCCCAGAGTGCTAGGATTACAGGCGTGAGCCACCGCGCCCGGCCATGACTGGGTTTTAAGTACTTAGATGTTAAAGTATTGCAGACTATATAAAAATAAATGATAAATGGTTCAGGCTGGGCATGGTGGCTCATGCCTGTAATCCTAGCACTTTGGCTGAGGTGGGAGGATCCCTCGAGGTCAGGAGTTCAAGACCGGCCTGGGCAAGATAGAGAGACCCCTGTTTCTGCAAAAAATAATAAAACATTAGCTAGGTGTGGTGGCGTGCACCTGTAGTCCTAGCTAGCTGGGAGGCTGAGGTAGGAAGAAAGTTTGTAGAGAAGCTATTTTGATGATGTCTATAAATTCCTTTAATTTTTATGTTAATTTGTTTCTCCATAAACTCCATTAGTTAGACTTGTTGAATACTCCTTCCAGGTACAAAAAAAAAGCTGTGCTTTGTTCTTTGGATTTGTCATTAGTTCTTGGCACACTTGGTTTCTGGATGTTTGGCAAATAATGAATGGAATCTCTTATTTCATACAAGTTTGGGATCATTGTTCATCTATATAGCAGGGTCTCTCTTTCAGGGGAGCACTGTTAAATCATTCTTGCTAATAAGTCTGATTCACCCCTGTGGGGTAGGTTAGACTTGGAAAGAGTTCGATGCAGGGTACTGAAATGGTATTAGTACTTTGTCACTACAGTACCATTCAGTTCTGTAACCAGCCAAGCCTTATGTATTTTCACCAATTCATGACCTTTTGTCCAAAATCTATATTGGAACTCTCTTCCCTAAACGGCTTTCTAAACTACTACTGTCCCTACTAGTTATAGGCAACTCTAATCATCCCATCACATTCTGTTCTTTCAACACCAAAACCACTTGTATACCTTTTGTTACTAAGTCATGTTTTTACCTTTTTATCTTTGGGTATTATCAACTTCAACAATTTCCTGTGAAAGTCTTAAGATCTTGC